ACAAAAATCGCATGAGTGAACGCTGTTAATGTGTACAGCTGCAAAATATGTTTGCAGAGTTACAAAGTTCGCCAGCGAATCTCTATTGTCGACACTACCAGCGAGATATTTGCCCGCAAACAACACAACTACAGCAAAAACAGTGTGGATTATGAAGAACTATGCAGCTACAGACAGGATCTTCACGACCTATTAAATGCAAGCACAATGTCAAGGAATAAAGAACTACGTTTGAACAGTACTTATTACTTTGAATAAGACCTTCGAAAACATAAAAAGTCATGGACTCTAGAAGGCCACGACTAAATTAGGGAGAGCAGGGCCGTTTAAACCGTTTGCAAGCGTCGTGGACAACGTGCCAGTCTTACAAAGCTCTATTGGTGGAAAATTACACCAAGCAGGGGTTTGCAAATATAAGCGGTTACTGGGACGAGCGTGGCCTGGAATTAACATTTATTACCAAACCGAAAACGGAAAGCTGCTCAACATGCAAGTTATGCAGACGGAAGCAAATGTGTCCAACACCAGGCCCTACAGCCGCTTATTGGCCTACGACTGCATGCTGAACACTGAAATGGAGCCAAAAATGCAGCGAATCGTAGAACTCGTTGCCTACGGCTGCTCAGACTCCAACCTTATCGTAGTGGTCAGGTACCAATCAGCGCCAACTAATGAATACAGCCAGTCCATGTTAAATGTCTACTGAGCTGGCTTCATATTTGTGTAAGAAATCGCGTATTCGGAAGCACAAATTCAACAGCACTAAACATCGGCGAAATAACCACCAGCGGTATCAAATCCATTTACGTCCAGAGAAGGCTGCCACACTCAGTCAAAAATGTCTAGAGCATTATCCTAAACAAAAATAAAACTAAGGATGCACCGAACTGCCATCTCGAATAAATTGCTCTAGGAAGCGGTGGACTGAACAAAAATCACTAAGCTCATGTCAACTGCGTTGCGTCCTGAGGATACTTAAGGTAAACACGCAGAAATTTTTCCGGAAAACTTCACCTCGGGAGGGGAAAAAACGGGAGTGTTTCGCATTCATGTTAGGCTAAAGCAACTTCAACAACAGTGGAGAGACGAAGCAGTAGGAATGGCTGAGGAACACCACCTGTCAAATGGCTATTCTATGATGGCAGTGTGGTGAGCGAAATGCAATAAAGAGACACCCTAAAGACGTCTCTCAAAGATATGACAGTTAACCAAATGAATACGGAGGATGAATTTGGTCCACTGTCATAAAAGCTGGCACAACAATCCTGGAAGCTGGCCAAATACAGAGGTCCAGGGTGAAGCGTGAGGTACGCGGGCGACAGTACCGTAGACCCACGGTGCGTTTCTGCCGGAGACTTTTGCCGAAGATAGAGAAGCAAAGGCTGTGCGAACTGTGTTAACATAGAATTCTACAACAAACTAGTAAAAGGTCGCAAAAATTCCCATCACAGAAGTCCGAAGAGGAATTGGCAAGCATA